CCCCCCCCCCCGAGTGTACTCCCACTGCTTTTATACTCCTGGAGGGAATCACTCAATCCTAGCTATCTGTACGTGACATGTGCTACCTCCTTTTGCTTGAGCAGAGCCTAAATTTCTCCACTCTTCCAGCATTCCCTACACCTACCAGCTTTGCCATTCACATGAGCAGGAACATACTGCCCTGAGGTCTTGTTATCTCACTTTTAAAGGCCTCTCACTTTGTAACTGAACCTCTACCTGCAAATAGCCTCTCCCAATCAACTTCTGAAATTCTTGCCTGCTACCATCAAAATTGGCCTTACTCCAATTTCAGTCTCAACTTTGACTTTTACGTGAGATCTATCATTTTCCATAACTAATAGAATTACGATCTCTTGCCCCAAAGTACTCCCCGACTGACCCCTCAGTCACTTGGCCTGCCTTACTTCCCAAGAGAATGTCAAGTTTTGCTCCTTCTCTAGTAGGTGCATCCACGTGCAGAATAAGAAAATTTCTTGTACAAACTTAACAAATTTCTCTCCATCCAAGCCCTTAATGCTCTGGCAGTGTCGTTCTTTATTTGGAAAGTTAAAATCCCTGACCGTTACAACCCTATTATTCTTCCAGATGAGATCTCCTTACAAATTTGCTTCTCAATTTCCTGCTGACTATTCCAATAAGGTGATCATCCCTTTCTTGTTTCTCAGTTCCACCAAAATAACTTGACTTGATGTATTCCCAGGAATATCCTCCTTAAGTACTGCCATGATGTTATCCCTTCCTAAAAACACCACTCCTTCTTCTGTCTTGCGCGCACGCCCCTCCCTTATTTGCTGTAAACTTCTGGCTAGCTTTTGTTAGCTAGTTTCCCTATTTCTTTTTAGTTCAGCCTTTTTATTTCCGTCCCAAGCTTGCTAGATTTGAAAGATCTTTAAAATGCAAAGCAAAGCTTTCTAAAAACATTTTAGTATCAAATCTAGTGACTACCTCTCTCTTTAAATTAGGCTCTAATGAGTTCGAGACAACAAGGTGCAAGGCTGGATGAACACAGCAGGC